ACACACACACACACACACACACACACACACACACACACACACACACAAGTGCTGGGGAAAGTAAGCACTAATGTGTATGACAGTAGTGTAAGGGTTTTAAAAATATATACATAACTGTGAGATTAGTTCTCCTAAAAAAACCTATAACCAGGGGATTTAGAATCTCCTCTGTTCAGGCGACTGACTCTGAGCTTGCATGGTCACAGCCAGTGTACTGTGGACAAGTAAATAAAGGGTGACTTGATGACAGGATACCAGCGTCTGTACAGTTATTTCACTCACCAAGTTTTCTACACTCTTAAATAACTTTAATAAACTTGTCAAACACAATTTCTCTTTGCTTAAACATTGTTGGCTCTGTCAGATTGTGTTATCGTTTTCTCATTGTCTTGCTACTAACTCCTTCATAATGGAGTCCTGCAATTTCCCAACGACAGCTGATAGGTTAATTGGTCCATTGTTTCCTGCTTTCAGTCTTTCTTCTTTCTTAAAAGAGGTGTTCATTTTGTGGTTTCCAAATCCACTAAGACCTTTCCAGAATCTAGAAAATTTTTGAAAATTACAACCGATGTAACTCTTCTCTGCCTTCACATCTTTGAAGACCCTAGGATATAGGTGTCAAGTCCAGGCACTTGTCTGTCTTTCATTGCATTAGTTTTCCCAGTCCTTGTTCTCTAGTAATTGCGATTATTTTAAGTTTGTCTATTCTCTTTGCCCCTTGATTTTCTTTGGATGTTCTTTGTGTCTTCTACAGATACAAATACTTGACCAAAGTCACTGTGATTTCATTGTCTCCTGTCTCACCCTCTGAGAGACAAGCTCATGGTTACTATTCATTTCCTTTTCATTTGTACAAGATTTTACTGCCTGTTTTTGTATTTTTTTGCTAGTTTTGTCTCAAATTCCAAATTTCTCTTTGCTTTTGAGTCATACTTTGCTGATTTCTATAACATTCCCAATCTCCTGGCATATCATTAATCTTTGCAGCATTGCACATCTTTTCTCACAATGTGTCACCATCCTTGATTTTCTTAACCACAGATGGAGCATCCTATTCACTTCCTTTCTTAAATGGAACACATCTTTGTTGAGATTATAAAGTATCACCTGAAATGGCTGCCAATGCTTCTCTATGATAATAGCTTGCAACCTATTTTCCCAGTCCACTTTAGCTAACTCTGGCTTCATAACCTTATAATTGCATCACAGAAGCATCTCAATGCAATGTCATGATTGAAATCAGTAATCCACCGCGTGAAACAACAGGAAGCAGCATTTGTTATCCAGATTGCAACGTTCCAAGACTGGGAGTTAGCTTTATAGATGATTACCTTCTAAAAGTGATGGTTCATCATCAATGTCACCATCATATATTGTGGAAGATGGGCTGAAGGGAGTGTACACCTCTTGTGGCTGTAAAATACGTCCTGCATAGAGTTTTGAAGATTGCGTCATTTCTGAAGGAACAAATATTTTGGGCTGTGTGTATCTATTCTCAAATTCACTGAAAGGCAAAGACATAGAAGAATCAATCATCAATAAACTAACAATGTCAAGTACTTGTATGAATTCCCTCAGGACATGCAGTTTTTTCAGGGCATGCTTCTGATGCCATAAAAGTTGGCAGTGCTAGATACATGGTTTGTAGTTGCCATTTGAACTTGAAAATTGAAAGAGGCCTGTTAATGACTGTCTATGATTTCTTAATGGACTGTTAGTTAAACTCCTAAGGGACTTTACAGCAAGTTAAGAACAATAGTGATATTTAAATTCAACATCTGAACAGCAGAAGGAATAATCAGATTAAAGAAGGGAAGGTGAGAAGAGCAAATGACAAGGAAAAGAAAAGAGGATGGAAGGAAGGTGGAATGAAAAGGACAGATCAAGAGAATGAGACTGGGGATAGAGAGTTGAAAGAGACAGTAGATGAGTATTTTAAGCATTGATGCATTAGATTTTACTGATTTGCATATATATCTCCACAGCAACTAGAATTCTGACTGAAATCTCATTAAAGTTTAATATAGGCTGATAATTATTCTTTTGCGTTTCATATTTTATACCTCCTGAGCTACATATGCAGTTCTATTAACATTTTGAAGTTGTACCCTCAAATCCCTCTGTTTGTCCAAAAATACTGAGCCCATTCAGAGTAGAATTTCTGTTTTCTTTTTAATGCAAATTGCTGCTTACACTTATTAGCACTTAATTGGTTTCTGTTACTTGTTAGCCTATTCTTCCAAAGTCTGCTCAGTTTGGTCACAGTTACTACGTGACCCAAAAGAACCGATGAAAAATCACAGACTTGAAACTGAACTTAAACTGAACTCTGCTACAGGACTTTCTGAATATTTCTGCCATTTGCCGTTTTTATTCCAAATTTCCAGCATCTGTGGTATTTTATTTATGTATTAGTAATTTATCCAAAAGTCTAGTTCTATAAATGTATGTTGAATAAGTCTTAAAAAGAATTACAAAATATAAATGAAGATCTATAGGAGAAGATAACCTCCTCCCATTTATAATATTGATGGTCAACCTAAAATCACAGAAATCCCACAGTGCAGACAAAAGCCATTCAGCCCGTTGAGTCTGCACTACCCTCCAAAGAACATCCTGCCCCACATCCCTGGACATAACAGGGCAATTTTTTTTTAAACCATGACCAGTCCACTTACCCTGCACATCTTTAGACTGTGAGAGTAAACCAGAGTACCTGCAGGAAACCCACACAGACACAGGAAGAACATGCAAACTCAACACAGAGAGTTGCCCAAGGCTAGAATCGAACCCAGGTCCCTGGTGCTGCGAGGCAGTTGGCTAACCACTGGCTACTGTGCCTACAAGCTATAACACTTATATTAAAAGAGTCAACTTTAAGTGCTTAAAGTACTTTATCAACAAGGCACTCATTTAGTACATTAATCAATAATTGATTTTAAGTGTTAAGAAAGCAGCTTATCGTTAATTTGAATTATTTAACGTGTGCTAAAACCTACAATTCAGCATGAAATTAATGGGCTATCTAATAGGGAAGTGCATATATTAATGCAGAGTAGTATTTCTTAAGTGCGCTAAGTTTTCATCCCTGAAATGACACACAAGAGACCTGCAGTAATGCAGAGTTCTAATTGAGGTAAGGAAAACACATCAATAATGCTACAGAAACCCTCTAGTAACCAATAATGGAATGCATGAAGCTGATGGCTACCACTGCATTATAAGATTCCTGTTGCAGCAGTCATAAGTGTTGGTTTTGATATGTCTGCAGCATTTGAATAAGTGGGATGTTATCATGAAGATGATGCAAGATGTAAAAAAAAGTAAACTAAAACTATTGTTATGCACAATATGAGCTTCCAATTAATCTGCATGTGATAACACCCCAACAGAAAGAACGTGGATCTATCAATTGTAATATAAATGAAGTCTGTAAAACAAATGCAGAGATATGTAAATCTTTTGTTTTTCATAGAAGGTTAGACTAGAATCACAATAAAAAGTTACATAAATATGGCTCCAAACAGTTCAAACTCTGCATCCTGGTCCTCCCACTTTGATGCAATGGTCAAGAAAGCACAACAACATCTCTACTTCCTCAGGAGGCTAAGGAAATTCAGCATATCCACAAGGAGTCTTACCAATTTTTATAGCTGCACCATAGAAGGCATCCTAGCTGTATGCATAACAGTGTGGTTTGGCAACTGTTCTTCCCAAGACCGCAAGAAACTACAGAGAGTCATGAACACAGTTCCGTCCATCACACAAACCAGCTTTCCATCCATTGTTTCAGAGATAGTAGGAACTGCAGATGCTGGAGAATCTGAGATAACAAGG